CATAAACCACACACACATAGACACCCTATGTCCCTAAGAGTGGGACATACACACACTCATGATAGACGGACAGACTTGTTCCAAGTACCTTGGCCTATATCGGGGTCACTCCAAAGGCCATTGAGCTTCATGATCTCTCTTTTCTCCCAGCACTCTGTCTCAGCCTTTGAATGTGGATCATCAAAGTCCCGGGGAAAGGATGCCTGCAGCACGAGGGAAATCAAAGTCCAAGGTAAGTGGCGACCCCTCCCGTGTGCTCCATTCTGTCTATAAGATGTGGCCCATTTGTTTGCTTTCCGGAGATTTCCTGCCTGTGGGAGATGGTTGCGGTACCTGGTGGTCCTCCCGTTTCTATGGAGATGGGACCTGAGAAGTAACCAGCACTCAGGAAGCTGCTGTGGGTTCCATTTCCATTCTGTGTTCACAGTGGACCAGGGGCTCTGCAGGACTCGGAATTGCCCTCCCCAGAAAGAATATGAGAGCTCTGTAGTTTCTTTGGCCGGGGATGAGTACCCAGGTGGGACCCACTCAGCCGAAGGTTTAGGTGCATATGTGCCAGATTTAATCCAGTTGTATCACTTTGTTGTTCCTTGTAAAACCAATACTCACATGGAAGAAGTGTGCCCGGTTAAGGTACAAGAATGAGGAGTATAATTTGGAAATGAAAAAGTGGGGTGCACAAGTCTTATGACTGACCTGCTTCACCACTGGAGATGACCAGATGGGCGTCGCAGCAACTCAAGGGCAGTTTCTCTTAATTTCCAGCTGGGCAGTGGTGGCCCATGCCTTTAACCCCAGCAATCGAGAGGCAAAGTCACATGGATCTCTGTGAGTTTGAGGCCAGCCTGGTTTACAGAGTTTCAGGACAGCCAAGGCTGCACAGAGAAACCCTGTCTTGAAACACCAAACGAAAAAACAAACAAACTAAACAAAACACATTTCCTTAGTCTGGGAATGTTGCTCAGATTGCTTGACAAGGATGCATAAACCCTGAGTTCAATCCCATGCACCCCTCTACCCCATAAATAGAGTGTGGTGGAGCATGCCTGTAACCTCAGTACTCACAGGATAGAGACAGGAAGATGGAGTCATCTTTGGCTACATAGTGAGTCCAGGCTAGCCTTGGATACCTGAGGCCCTGTCTCACGCTAACAAAACGTATTTCCCTCAGTTACATGTGCCTATTCTCTCTAGCTGCCCCAATAACTATGCATCAACATACATTCCCTGTCGTTTCTGACTTGGTCAGGGTTCAGCCACAACACCGGGTAGCTGGGTCTTTTGCTTGGGTTTCCCAGAACCAAAATCAAATTGTTGACTAACTGTATTTTCATTTGGGGCTTAGATTCTCTTCCGGGTATGTTTGTTATTAACAAAATTCAGTTCATTTTCACATTTTGCACATTCTTTCCCTCCCCTATTTTCATGAGAGTAGTAGTCAAGCAACCCAGAGCGAGACCTAGGTAGTCTGTATAACGTAGCTGAGGTAGATGACAGCAAGTGCTTGCCATTCAATCAGGAGGACCTGAGTTAGGATCCGGTCTTAAAAAAAGGTGCTGGCCAGCAAGATGGCTCAGCAGGTAAGGGCCACCCGAGGTTGATTCTCAGGACCCACATTGTAGATGGAGAGAACCAATTTGCCCTCCATGTTGTCCTCAGAGACCCATGTGCACCATAGTACACCCCCTGCCTCCCCAAGGACACACATAAAGGCCAAATTCAACAGTGTGCATCTGTAATCTCACAGCTGGGGAGGCAGAGAGAGGGGGCTCACTGGCTGACCAGTGTCATGAGAGACCCCACGTTAAAAAGCAAGGTGGAAGAAGCTGAGGAAGCTGCTGATTGTCGGCCTCTGTTCTCCGTGTACATGAGTATATGTGCACCCTCACACATGCATACACACAAGTGAGCATGTGCATACTTCCCCAGACACACGCACATCTTTCTTTGTTGCCATGAGCCAGTGATAACCTGATTATAGAGTATCTGGGTTTGTTTATTTTGAGGGAGCCAGATTATGTGATTGAATCCTAACTTCTTGATTTAGTAATTGTGTGAACTGCAATAGTTTACCTCACCTCTCTAGGCCTTAGTCTCCTCATCTGTAGCATTGCTATGATTCTCTTGGCAATGGTTCACAACCACTAAGGGTGAATACCAAGTGAACCAGATACTTAGAGAAAAAATGCCTTAACTCTAAAAACCAGAAAAACCAATTTCTCTGTTATTTTATTTTATTTATTGTTTTTGCAAAGAGTTATTCATTTATATGTATACAGTGTTCTGCTTGCTGGCAGGCGAGGAAAGGGTGCCAGATCTCATTATAGATGTTTGTGAGCCACCATGTGGTTACTGTGAATTGAACTCAGGACCTCTGGAAGAATAGTCAGTGCTCTTAACCGCTGAGCCATCTCTTCAGTCTGGTCCTCTGACTTTGAATGCAGCATAATCTTTAATAACAGATTTATTATGTTATACTACGTATAATATACTATTGAATTTATTTCTTATCCCTGCTTCTTTGGTTGCAGAGCTCCTGTCATGACCTGTCTCACGTATTTGCTATTTTCTCTACCACATAGAGGAAACTTTTTTCTAATTTTTTTATTGTTTTTATTGAGCTATATATTTTTCTCTACTCCCCTCCCTTCCTTTCTCCTCTCCTTCTACCCTTTCCCATGGTCCGTATGTTCCCAATTTACTCAGGAGATCTTATCTTTTGCAGAAGGAACTTCTGAAGCTCATGGTTGAATAGACATAACTTTATTCATTGCAGGCATCGGTGACATTTGGGGACTTAGCCATCTACTTCTCGCAGGAGGAATGGGAATGGCTGAGTCCCACTCAGAAGGATTTGTACGAAGATGTCATGTTGGAGAACTATCAGAATCTGGTCTCTCTTGGTAAGGTGTCATGCTCCCCCCCTCACCCTTTCAGTAGTCCATAACCTGCCTGTGAAGGGCATGTGTCAGTCAGGCTGTTCAGGAAAAGGGAAGCCACTTAAGTTGTGTGCATCTCTTTTTAATGACTCTCTCTCTCTCTCTCTCTCTCTCTCTCTCTCTCTCTCTCTCTCTC